AAACTTCATGTGTGGTCAAAATTATAACTTTCTCAGTGTAATTCAGCCCAGGAGAAGTGATATAGCAGGTTACACCATGATCAGGAAAAAAAAAAACGAAAGGAAAAAAAGAAAAGGCTTTACCTTACGTGTTAAGGATGCCTACTGACCTAGCCTGAGAGTTAGCATGAGGCTGAAGAGCTGAATCAGAGAGACCTCTTGAAAGTGCTTGGGTAACAAAAAGAAAAAAGAAGGACGATGTTTCCATTGTGGAAATCTTCCATAAGACCTTCACACCAGGAAGTTCAGGTGCATCCTAACACCCCATCCCATTTGGAACAACTAATAGAATCGTTCAGAGCATCAGACTGGATGGTAATGTGGTAACAAACTGTGGGAGCAATAAGATGGGACAATGTCTGCTAAGTCTTTGGAATGGGGTGGGGACCACTTTTGGATATAGAATATATATGAAAGAACAGGAGAGGAGGATCTCCAAGTCCTGACTCTGACCAGCAAGAAATAAATATTTGAGAATACAGACAGGGAGGATAACTGGGCAGACAGCAATTATGAAGCAGGAGAGCTCATGGATTTTAGGAAAAGTAGTGATGGAGAACAGCAAAAAGACATTCTGTGGGCAACAAGAAAGCAAGCTTCAATAATTCAATAATTGTTACTTATAACCAAGCAGAAGCAAACTTAAAGGACAAGGCAGTTTAAGAGAGTGGGAAGCTTCTTGAAGAAAGAATATGAAGGGCATAATTACACAGACTACCCCAGTCCGAGGACCATCAGGAATAGCCTGCCTAAATCATGAATTCTTCAATGTCCTGAAACTCGAGAGACCTATAAAATATGGGAGGTTTAGATGAGTGCAAAAGAAATACTACAGAATGCAGAGGCAAAACCAGAAAGGACAGTTTCCTGGCACGTCTCAAGAAGGTCAAGGTTCCCCATTCCTGGGCTCACCTCATGGACAAGGAGACCAACACAAAAGAGGGGCTGAAAAGTAATCTGAAAAATGATGCTGATATCAAATATCTCCAGACACAGCTGAATGCTGAGTGTAGTTGTATCCAGCAACTGGGTGGTGGTATCACTGCTCCAAGAACTTTCTGTGCCCTCTGCTCACAGTTCAACTTGTGGCTTTTGGCTGTATCAGAATATTAGCATGCAAATCCCAGGAAACCTGGCCAGCCTGAACTAGAAAGAAGCAGAAATAATACAGCGACATTCTGTAGGTAGGTTAGAAGGAAGAAAAACAACAAGGGAGAAGTTGGTGTACTAACTTTCAGGAATGTAAGTTGATGGTAGATAAGATGGGGAAAGCTGAAGTGTAAATTCCTTTTTCTTCTTCAATATTAAAAGTTAATGATAGCTAAGAAAGTAAAAGGAATTCTAGAGAGGATAAGAAAAAAACAGATGAGAGAACATTTAAATAAACTGAATATTCTCAAAGCACCTTGGTGTGATGAAATTTATCCTGGAATACTTAAGGTACAGGCTTAACCAATATTAGACATTAACCATTACACTGGAGAAATCAAAGAGAAGGGGTGATGTTCCACAAGTATAGAAAAAATCTCAGAGGTGGAAAAGGTCTCACAAACTGTAATGCACACATTCAGTTCTCACCATGTAAACCAAGAGTCTAAGCGCCCGGGACAGTCAAGAAAGATCCAGACAAAGTCAACGGAGCCAATGGAGCTACCTGCTGACCAAATGTAAATGTCTGCTATATGGTGAACTGGATGTCTCCCTGGCTTCCATTGACTGTGTTGATTAGATCTCTATTGACAACAATAGGAAATTAGGAACACTCACCAGTCTTGATCTACAAGCTGAGTCCCACCCACAGTCCTTGTGTCTTGGAAAAAAAGGGGGAGAAAAGAGAGGCAGAGCGAGGATCCAAGGAACTACGGCCATTTCAGCTTAACTTTAATTCTTTGAAAAACATTGTAGCAGTACACTTGGAGTTGCCAAGAGCTTTTCTTTTTGTAAAGGATGGACCAGTGTAATATTATTTGACATAGGTTAATGAACTTCAGTGAGAGACAGACACAGTATATGCTGTACACCCTGATTTTAGTAAAGCTCTTACTTTAACTACAGTAGGAAGCTCTACCAGTTTGAAAACCACAGTCAAAGAATATTCAACTGTGATTTACACTCACAGTGAAAGAATGAGTTGAGCGCAGTTCCTCAATTCTCTGGAGTCCAGTATTATTCAGCATTTTCTTTAGTGGCTTGGACTATGAAATGCAGAGTAGTCATTAACTTTGCAGATGAAGCTGAAAGCTTCTGTTAAACAGGATTAGGATATAGAAGATCTTGATGAAGCAGTGGTGAAAAAATAGGCTGCAATTCAGGAAAAGCAGGTGCAAAATCCTGTATGTACGAACAATCAACAACACAACTACAAGATGGGGAACAATAGCAGCAGATCTGCAGAGAGAGATTTTGGAGCAAATGCAAGTCAAAAAATGCAATTCTGATGTCAATAAAGCAAACATCATAATAGGGATATATAAAAAGGAGTGTCACGTGCAAGACACATCAAGTCCTTCCGGTCTGGCAAAGCCTCAGACAGAGCGCTGTAGTCTGCTTTTGGCCACCAGACTTCTAAAAAGATGCGAATTAATTGAAGATGGCCCAGAAAACAACAAAGATGAGCTGAAGTCTACAAAACATGACCTATGAAGAAAGAGTGAAAGGATTGAAGGTGCTTAGTCCAGAAAAAAGAAGACAGAAAGGAGACGTAAGTTTTCGAATCTTTCACAGAGAGGAAAATAGCAAATATTCCTCCGTTTCTACAGGATATGGGACAAGAAGTAATGACTTAAGCCAGCTTGAGAAAGACTTTTGTTGAAATTAGGAAGAACTTTCTGGCAGTGTTGATGGCTAGGCAGTGGAACGAGTGTCCAGGGGAACTGCAAATTCTTCAGCACTGGAGTGACGCTAGGTAGGTGTGATGGTGACTTGGGGCTCAAGGATGGACTAGATGACCTGGTTAAATTGGAAGTTCAAGACTGAAGCCATCCTTGTTTTATTGGTAAATATCAAGATGAAAAAGTCTGGGCAGTAAAAAGAAATCAACTCTTTAACCTACTGAATTTCCAGGTGAGAAAGACGGCTGAAACTACTTCCTTCTGTCCTATGTTAATAGTGGAAATAAAGTTTCCCTCTCTTCCAAGGAAGGTTTGCAGACGAATTTGCCTGAGGACTGTGAAGTACTCTTACACTACAATGCTGAGTATTCTGCAATACCAGAATACAAAGGTACATGATCCTTCGTCAGAGTTACATAGAAAAGTTGCATTGAATCAAGTTTCATTTGCATTATTTAAAATTATCTGTCAAATCCTAATGTAACTTTAAACCTAAGATCGCTCTTTTTAAGAAGTATGAATGTTCCTGCTGCTCCATCTCTGTAGACTTAAGTAAAAAGTAAGTAAAACAGAACAAAAAACGCAAGCACGGGGCATCCTCCAGCCTTCAGTGTGGTGCAAAGCAGTATAGCCGTGCACCAACAAGAGCAAGGAGAACACAGGGAAAATGTTAGTATAATCAATGGAACTACGATTCTGGTTAGAATTAGATAAAAATCACAATAAAAACAATAAAATCCATTACCAACAGAATTAATGATGGCAAGATTAGAGAAAGAACTCATTGCCTGTCAGTACTGAGGCTTCCAGAGGAAACAGGAGAAACATCACACAAAAATTTCTCATTTCTGTTTTCTTTACCATGCACTGTCAGCGCTGCAGTAGTCTTCTCATCTCCACACACGCAGGTATACTCCCCAGCATCCCTGACTTCCAACGCATGGATCAGCAGTTGTGCCGTAGTACCTTCCTGTCTCATAGTATATTTTTCACTCGATTTGAGCACTTTGTGTTTCTTTTTCCACTCCACAGAGGCAGCCCTAGACAGCTCACATTGTAGCGTGGCTGTTCCACCTTCTGTGGCTTCTTCATTCTTCATCTCTTTCCTGAAGTGTGCAGGCAAGGCTGAGGAGTTCAAAATGAGCAGAATGTATGACCGTGCCAGCTATCCAAGTAACTATTTATCTGTGGTCTGTCAACCACACAAGCAAAGCCTTCCCTAATCAAAAAGGATTGATAACCACTCTGGGAAAGATACGATGGCGACCTTGGGAAGCAGGAGAACACCTTGTTCATAAGTCAGAGCTTTTTTTATGGTATGGTCTATGGCACGAAATGGAGAACCACACCAGTCTCAACTTCAGACTCTGCAAGACTGAGCCCTACCTTACCTCGGGTATTGCTTGGCACAGTGGAAAATAAAGCCTGACTAGAGTGTCTAAGTTCTGTTGCAATGCAAATCATTACCGAAAAAGTTCATAAATGAAATAATATCTGAGGCAGCTATCGCACTGTTCCATGAGATTTCTCCTCAGATAGTGGTCAAGCAGAACTTGACTGTCAAATTATTCTGACACACTGAAAACTGTATCAAAAATATCTCATCACCAAATTGTAATATTCTCAACTTTAGGATTGTAACATCTTCACAACCAGCATCACAATAATATGTTTTTGCTTTTTTAGCAACTACTACTGAACACGAACATCAAAGGAATGAGTTAGCACCACAATGAATATCTGAAATTTTTGCAACGATCCTTGTCTCATACTGACCAGTGCATTCCCATGTTTATGCCCATGTGCAACAACACGTTACTAAGTTAATCAGAAACGGGGCTGCAATTTCAAAGCTGATACTACTATGCTCTTAAAGAAACGGCCGGTTGAAAATAATCCACTTAATTTGATTTTTTTTTTCTTTTTTTACCATTCACTTTCAGCGCAGCCGTGGTTTTCTGATCTCCATAACAGCATGTGTAATCGCCAGCATCTGTCAGGTCTAAATCACGGATCACCAGCTCAGCAGTTGTGCCCTCGCATCTCATGGAGAGCTTGTCACTCGGCTCCAGGGCTCTGTCTCCTTTCCTCCATTCCACGGCAGCTGCGGGCTTGTTCAGCTCGCAGCAGAAAGTGGCCGTGCCATTTTCTGTGGCTTCCACCTTCTTCAACTCTTTTTTAAAATGCGGAGGAAGGGCTGAAGATCACAGGTGAAGAGAGAGCATTTTAAAATCGAGGAAATACTGCATCTCAACTGCTCCACTGGATTAAAACCCTTTAATCTCTAAAGGTTTTAGAATAATATATAGTACCTGAGAGGCAACTGATGATTTCAGGGGCATCCCTGCCTTATGCTTTGCAATACACCACATTCAGCATGTCACAACTGAATTGGAAATCAGTGTTGTAAAACTATAATTTCAGTACTGGAAGGCATGCTTTAAAGGCATTTTAAGATAAAACAACAGAAAGCTGATTCCAAGCTTTCAAGGAACTATGCATAGTTCTGTCTTAAGACCGGATGAACAATTAAAACGAACATTACGTTATTTAAAATTCCAGGCTGCAATGTATCATTCTCACCTGCCTTTCTCAGTTGTTATCATAACAGAGCACCTTTCAATTCCATTCGAGTAAAAGAAGTGAAATCTCAGTGATATGCCTACAGAAGTTAATTATTGGAAATACTGCAAGTGCTATTTATGACTTCACCAAGGTCTTCATTATCTGCTTCCAGATTCCATTAACATGAAAGAAAAGGGACAGAAAAGACTGTATGGTGCTATTTATCAGTCCCAAGTGAAGGGCTTTCAGTAAAAGATATTCCTAGTGGTTAATACAGCTGTCATAAAAATTTAAAATAATAGATGGGATCAAGAACAATTTGTGATCCTGCATGAGATCACAGATGACAAAGCAGAAAATCCCTATTAAACTGATGTATTTTACCATGCACCGTCAGGGATGCAGTAGTCATCTTGTCTCCGCACACGCATGTGTAATCTCCCGCATCTTGTTCCTCCAGGCTGTGGATTGTCAGCTCAGCAATGGTATCCTTCAGCCTCATTTTGTACTTCTCACTAGGCTTGAGCACCTTTTGCCCTTTTCTCCACTCCGCCGGAGCGGGTTTAGTTAGCTCACACTGCAGAACAGCCGTCCCGTTTTCTGTGGCTTCCATATTGACAAGTTCTTTTTTGAACAGTGCAGGCAAAGCTATGGGACGTAATATAAACAGAGAGTACGTCAAAACCACTAACCAGACCTTGAGGAACATAGGACTAGGTCCTGAGGCCAGTCCTTCACTATTACAGGAAAACAAATCATATAGTCTTGAAAACTGCATCTATTAGAAAACTACTGCAGGATCTCACAGGGAGAACTGCCACCATGACCTGCTTCTAACATTGACTTATGCAGAATGCTCATCATTTCCCAGCTGATTCCAGTAGTCCTCTCCACTTATTTCAGTCTGAGATCATCTATCTTGAACATTAATCACCTGACTTCTGATTGAAAGTCATCGTCCTGGATGATGGCACTGCTAGCTGGAGATCTCTACCTTTCCTGACACCGTAATTTATCTTTCTGGTTCAGAAAAAAAACCGTAGTATAACTTCAGGCGCACCTCTAGGCCATAATTGCCAAGGACATAATGGCTCTAAATAGCAGGAACACAGGCTTTTTTTAGCAACATTCAGCAAGTTGCCTTGTGGTGTGCCACCAAGGTAAAAAGGAAGCGACTTGCACAGGGAAGAAAGTGCCAGCTCAGAGGAGGGGAGGAACAGAAGTACCTCCAGCTGGGAGAAAGAAGAGGAAGTAAGAGTGTGCAGAAAATCTTAGAGAAGAGAATTTTGCCTCCACAGTTTTGCCCCTGTCCTTAGAAACATCTTATCCTTAAGATATATCTCAAATAAAAACTATTCTTTCATCTATTGGAACTATGTATGAACTGCCTCTGCTGGAGGGGCAACCAAAGCTTGTCACTATTCACCAGGGCAGAGACAGGAACAAAATCTGTCTCACCCCTCCCTAAATGAGGACCTGCAGAATAGTGGTTTAGGGTTTTTTTGGAAAGCACTATTTCCTCAGCAGAATATATCACAAAGGAGACGGACAGTCATTCATTCCTGAAGGGGAAAACCTCTCACTAACCGAGCTCAGCGTTTTTGAAAATCATTCCTTCAAGTTAAGCACCGAAATCCACTGACATCAGTGAGACGCAAGGACAAACGCTCTGAGAACAAGCTTGCTGCTAGAGGTCTGCTCACTTTTGGCCGTTTTCACTTTTAAAAAGTGAAGACTAAGATGAGAAATTCTCACAACTCTTCTTTACTTTGCTATGAAGCCACCGGTTTCAAACTGCCCGACAGTGGGAGATGGGATGAAACACAGCCAGCAAAGCAAGAAAATGCAGCAGAATCAAAATATCGAAGCAAGTGGACAAGAAACCTCTGAGAGAAAAGGGATCTCCCCGAGACACTGCTATCATAACGGAGAACTGCTTTTTTACCATGGACTGTCAAGACAGCCGAGGTCTTCTGATCTCCACACACACAGGTATACTCTCCTGTATCTTCTACCTCCAGATCTCGGATCAACAGTTCTGCGGCGGTATCTTCTTGTCTCATCCTATACTTATCACTCGGTTTGAGTGTCTTGTCCCCTTTTTTCCACTCCACCGGGACACCGACCTTGCTCAGCTCGCAGTGCAGGGTGGCTGTTGCACCATCTGTGGCTTCTCTGTTCTTCAATCCTTCTTTGAAAAACGCAGGCAAAGCTGAAGGACAGCAATATGAGCAGTGAGATGTAACGCCCCAAAGAGTTAACATTAACCACCGGTGTTTAATTTTCTTTTTCCCCCTCTTATCTTGAACTGATTTATCAACACAAGAACATAGATTGTTAATAAGTGTTCATGAATCAGTACGAGGAAAAAATGTCATCACCCGGAAGGGCTACAACGCTTGCAGTAATCCACAGAGATATTTTACGTGTGCTCAGAGTCACAAATCAATACAGACAAAAGAAGAAAACCCATTTTTTTCCTGGGAAGTTTCAAGCAAAAAGAATAAATACTAACTTGAAATTTCTGAAAAAAATTGGTTTTCTGATATGACTTTTTAAGCCATAATGGGAGGATGTTTGGTACGCTTTCACAGACTTAAGCAAACGAAAAGACATTGTCCATTAAAAAAATGAAACACTGGCGTTTCATTCTGAATGTCAGTTTGAAATGAAATTGTTCATTTCAATACATGGTGGGAAAACAAACATTTTCTCCTGAACTGACATATCCTTTCAAATACATCAGTTGCAGTAAAAATCAAAGTTCTCCCGGGGACAGTCGTCCCTTAGAAGGTTTGGGCTTGCGTTACAGAGTGGAGTAACTGAATGCAATGACAACTGGCCCGTACGTGTAAATGGACCTCGTTGTCCCAGGAATGGAGTATGGGAATAAGATTCCAGGGAATAACCTAACCTTTGGGAATTTTATGAAACCTTAAAACCGCTAAGTCAGAGCCTCTTTGAGGCAACCCGTTTTATTGGGCTTGAGCATAACGGGGAGTCTAATACAGGAACTTTCAAGGGGAAAAGCAAAATGATGGACCCTAATTAAAACAGTAGCGGCAATCCGGGTTGCCTATACGTTCCTCTGAGCTTGCAGACTGACACCCCTCTTGTGCCACGCACCCTGGCCGCACCGACGCCAACGGGAGCACTGCATTGGCATCGGTAAGCTGAGGATGAGGGTCTGGCAGAAGGAAGGAGATGGTGGGGTAACCAGGTGTCTCTCCAAATGAAGAGAGAAAACAGGATAGTTACTTTTAGTATGCGTCTTGTTTTGTTTGTTTTACCATGTACTGTTAAAACTGCCATAGTCTGCTGGTCTCCGCACACACAGGAATAATTTCCAGCATCCGTCGTGTCTAGGTGTTGGATTAGAAGTTCAGCAACGACACCTTCGCGTTTCATTTTATACTTGTCACTTGATTTGAGGGTCTTGAAGCCCTTCTTCCACTCCACGTTAGCAGCAGCCTTGTTCAGCTCACAGTGCAGAGAGACACTTTTACCTTCTGTGGCTTCTTCATCTGTCAGTTCTTTGGTGAAAAGAGCAGGCAGGACTGCAGAGTAAATGCAATACGGACACGGCATCAAAGCTGAGAAAGCCTGACCCATGATCTACGCACGCTCTTCTCTTATCTCCCCGAACCTGCATGTTACTGAAGCCACAACACCTTCTTCACGCTCCAGGATTTTGTTCCAGTCTCTAACATTTCAAAAGAGATTTCAGTCTGATTTTTAATTTTTCCTCCTCACACTTTAAAACTTGCTTTAAAAGCAAGTCTGTCTATCTGCAAACTCAGCTGACAAGCCACCTATCCTTTACTTACACACCATAAAATCCAAGGGATAAAATTAGAGGCCGTATTTCAATCTGAGACCCAAAGCATTTTGTTTCCTTTGAGAAAAACAGGAGTTCTGCAGAAGTGCCTGATTCATGGCACTGTCTGTATTTTTATAAATAGAACCCCTTAAAACAGAGCAGTTACAAACATGCTGTCAGCTTTCTGCAGAGATAAAGTATGTGCTTTGGAAGAGTTAAGCCAAAATTGGTAAAAAAGGGCTGGGGATAACAGGAAAATAAAAAGGCAATTTTTCATTAAGGTAGTCCTTGTGTAGCATCATACGTTGATGAAAACTTGTTCCTCTTAGGAGCAACAAGTGTTAACAGTCTAAGTTCCAAAAAGTAAATATTATTCCCACTTTTAGGTCAATCCCTATGGGAAAACTTTTAAAAAAGCAGCTATACTGCACTAGGGAGACCGTGTTGCGTTGGAGACCTGTACTCCGCTTGTCATTTGAACATAGCACCTAGAAAGACAAAGAGCACATCAAGAGGGCATCAAGTGAAAGCAGAGAGAGAGAAGGAAACCAGGATAGAAAAACTAATTAGCAGGGGGGAGGATAGAAAGTATACAGGGACCAGATGAAATAGGAGGAAAAGCAGAAGAGAGTTTGGAATTACACAGGTTTACTTGGGGCACGTGCTGAGAATTTCTTTTTACCATTTACTGTCAAAGCAGCCGTAGTCTGTTGATCTCCACACGCACAGCTGTAATCACCAGCGTCTGCCACATCCAGATCCCGGATCATCAGCTCCGCAAAGGGACCTTCCTGCTCTATTTTGTATTTGTCACTTGGCTTGAGGACCATATTCCCCTTTCTCCACTCAACCGGGGCCGATTTGCTCAGTTTACAGTGCAAAGTGACTGCCTCCCCCTCTGTAGCTTCCTTGTTCGACATTTCTTCTTGGAAGAGGATAGGCAAGGCTGAAGGATGCAATACCAACAGAGAAGGAATCAGCACTAGAACAAAATGAACTGGACTCTGCTGTGAGTTACTGGGCTGCGGTGTATACATTTAACTAAAAAATGCACTACTGCGAGGTGGATACAGTCGAAAGGGGGGTAAAACCTCCTAAAGTAGAGAGAAACAAATTAGAGAAAACAATATACAACGTAGCTGTGCTGTCTCAAAGCAAAAAAAAAAAAGCACAAGGGAATATTCTCTAATAGGGTGACTCTTTGGCACCACAGAGCTGAGAACATGAAACCTCTAAGACATCACACTGACCAGATTTCGGATGACCAGCAAATGCTGTTAAACACATTAAGTTTGGGGCTTAATGAGCAAAACGGGTAGAACGGTTACCATTCACTCTCAGGGCAGCTGTTGTCTTCTGGTCTCCACACACGCAGGTATAGTTCCCAGCATCCGTCAAGTCTAGGTCTTGGATAACCAGCTCAACGAAACGCCCTTCCCGTCTCATTTTGTATTTGCCGTTCGACATCAGCACCTTCCCGTCCTTCCTCCACTCGACCGAGCCCACCGCCTGGCTCAGCTCGCACTGCAGCGTGGCCGTCCCGCTCTCGGTGGCTTCCTCGTTCTTCAGCTCTTTTTTGAAACGGACTGGCAGGGCTGAGAGATGCAGAATGAGAAGGGATTGCAACCCAAGACCCTGCCCAGATCTCTGGTCAGAGGCTGAATCGCGATTTATGGTATGACTACCTAAGCCTTATTCCAACGCCCTTATCCTTAAGCACATCCTGCCTTTTTTTGTGGATGGTAAAAAAAATGCTCTAGTAAATTGTTCTGTGGGAATCAAAGCATGCGTGATCTTGACTGGTATCACGCATACAAATGACAAACTCGCCCTCACCATTAAAGGTGATGAACCCTCTTTAACAGAATATCCCAAGGAATCTTATGTTTCCATAATAATTCAGGAAAACACACATGCACGTCAGCACCCTTCACTTGAGGAAAGGTAAGAAGACAACACAACACACACACACATCCAACACTGGGCATGATGAAAGCTGATCGTGGATGGAAGTTGGGGAAAGGAGTGACATGGCAACATGAAAAAGTGGAAGGATGAAAAGAGTAGAAGCGGTACATGAAGGTAGGTGTTGTAAGGGGATGAACGGAAAGGAGGAGGGAAGAGATGGACAAAAACGTTCCAGAGTTTCACGGGTTATTTCTGACTTTTTACCATTCACTGACAAGGTTGCTGTGGTTTTTTGGTTCCCCACTATACATGTATAGTCTCCAGCATCCTTTGGGTCCAGATCGTGGATCAGCAGCTCAGCCACTGTGCCCTCCTGTCTCATCCTGTATTTGTTACTCGGCCGGAGAAGAGCGTGCCCCTTCCTCCACTCCACGGGGGCCTCTCTGCTCAGCTGGCATCGCAGGGTGGTGGTCCCACCTTCCACAGCTTCCACACTCTTCAGCTCTTCTTTGATGAGCACAGAGACGGCTGAGGAGTGAAGTGTTCTCATTTTACTTTAGGAGCATCATTACCAACTGGTGACCTCATATGGGACTTAAAACCAAAACAAATTCTCTTGGCGCAGCTAATAAGCTCTGACCTACCTGCACGTCCAGGACTCTACTTGACTCTACAATATTACACCAGGTTTGGGAGGAAATAAAAACAAAACAATTATTTCCCAATAATTAGAATATCGAAGTAATTACCCTTCTGCTGCCCAAATGCTGTTGGTCACAGACGCGTGAAAAACTTGCTGAGAAAGGGCAGAAAAGAATTGCATATTCTTTAACAAAATGTGTAGCTGAGGCCCTTCTTACCTCCTGGCTTAGAGCCCAGACAAGTGCCCCTATCCAGAGCAGAAAGCAGTTATTTCAGAGGCAAGGAAAGATATCTTGTTATCAAGGATATTTGATTGCTACGTTTTAGCATAAGTTATTGTCCTAAAAAACAGAGAACATAATGGACCCAGCCAGAGCTGCCTTTTATTTGTACTGATCCCTTTTTATCTTGATGCTCATTATAAATGTGCAGGAGCTAGCAGGACCATGGCAAGAACAACAAATGGCCACAAGAAGGTGTCTTATTCCTACCATGGATTTTGACTTGGGCTGTGGTCTGCTGGTCTCCAGTGTCGCAGGTGTATCTTCCCGCATCTTCTGGCTCTGCATTATGAATCACCAGCTCTGCCACTGTCCCCTTCTGCTTCATTTCATATTTGGCACTTGCCTGGAGCGTGGCTTCTCCCTTCTTCCACACCACGGTGGCATCAGCTTTTGTGAGTTCGCAGCGCAAGGAGACAGATTTCCCCTCTTCCATTTCCACGTTCTCCAGGGCTTGTTTAAAAAGGACAGGCACAGCTAGAACACAGAAGCAGGGATTAGGACATGCCCTCTTGAACTGCTGTACGAGAAGTGCCCCATGATGGCTGTCACCCCTTAAAACTAGTCCTTTTCCAAATGAGAAAAGCCACCCTAGACCCTTGGCTATGTGACATCAAAGTGATTCTGCTTGGGAGCAGGAAGAAATCTCTCCCCCAGATGTTATCACCTCACTGGCATTCCTAGGAGTACGGGGGAAGTTTCTCTCATCTTTAATAAGGACCCCTTTAGAGTCCTCCGAGCATCCTCACCTAACAAATTCCCTGCCGCTGCAGGGCTCTGACAGTATTCGTGCCCTCCTGCTTTCTGCTCCAGCACATACTACTTTTGCTATACTACTAAAGGTACTGTATTTGTTTAATGGCATTGGGGAGTGCAGATGGCATCTGAGAGCCTTTAAAAAAGGATGCTTTGGGGAGTTTGGGGGTCTAAACATTAATCAGGGACTGGACTCGACTTATATTTTCATGTTCTTCTGTTGCTTCCATGCTCCTGGTCTCCTGGTCTCTAACGCCAATCTTAATCACAGCCATGTAAAAAAGCCGATAGGTCAGGAACTATGGCACGTAGGGTACAGAAAATGAACCCTTATTTTCTGTTCAGTGGGAAGTTATAGATTTCAAATCCCATAACATAACATGAGATTACATGAATGAAATATATACAGGTGCTTACAAGTATGCAATAAATTAAATTTTTTAAGTTAAATTTTATGTATGAATTTGTAGATGGCACTGCCACAAAGTGCTGTGGTTTTGGTTTTTTTTTTTAATAGAAGATCTATTAAGCAACACATTAAGAAAGTGTGGCAACGTATCTAACTCTACCTACCATTTACTTTCACCCGAGCAGTGGTCTTCAGTTCCCCGGTGCTGCAGGTATATTCCCCAGAGTCTATCGATTTGACATCTCGAATAATGAGCTCTGCCACAGTACCACGCTGCTTAAATTCATACTTCTCGCTGGCATAGAGAACAGCGTCTCCTTTCATCCATTTCACTGGGGTATCAGGTTTGCTGAGCTCGCAGGTCAGCTTGACTTGTTTTCCTTCTTTAGCTTCTTCATTTTGGAGCTCTTGCTTGAAAAGAACTGGTACTTCTGAAAAAGAACATGGCAGATGTTTAAGGAAACACAGGAGATTGGAAATCACTTTTTCGTTTTTGTTTCAGACTTTGCTATTCAGATAGAAAACCACAGGAATGGAAAAGCACTAGCAAAGAGCAAACAGATTCTTACAGCTCACATCTGGCTGCCAGCACTCTACGGCAGCAAAAAATATTTGAGACCATATGCTTTTTTTCCTTTTAACGGCTATCCGTACTACTGAAGACATTGGGATTATTACTGTTGTCATTATTAACATTAGTGGCAGATGCTGCCCTGCTATTAATGACACGAACAGTGTGTTGCAGATGGGTGGTCAGAGCTGGACCACTGGCACAAAAAAGGTAAAACTTTACTGAGGCCAACTCGCACATAACACAGAGGACACAAAGAAATGGCAAAGCACTTTCTGTCATTACCAACAGTATTGAGTTCTCATTATGAAAATCCCACAACATGTTTTTATCAGACGTGAATACAGACTTAAAACCAGCACAGAGCATACACAGAAAGCAAAGCACAGCTGTATACAAAAGGGTCCCTGTGGAGATTCCTATGCAGCCTATATCACAGCCTGGGATTCAAGGCTTTAAGGTGAGCTAGTGTAGAGAAGGCACTTATTGGGGAAAAAACCTCAACTGAAGTGTTTTCCCTTCAGGTCGTGAAAAAACCCCAATTTCTTCCTCGCTTGTGCTATCTTACGACCATGCAAGTCAGCTACTGATCCGTGATGCAGTTGTCCTGTGGCTGTGGAAAAACTACAGCCTATTCTGCTGTTCCCCTCTTACCTCTAGTTTGGGACACTCAGTGTCACATGGCTACTGACTTCCACCCCCACCCCCCCATTCTGCTGCTCCGATGTGACCCTAATAGATAAAGGAAAGGTACAACGGTGTAATTTGTTGTAGGCACCCTTATGACTTGACTCCTTCACGCCTACTGGTGATCTGAATCCATGTGTTTAAATCCTGCATCCGTCCACACCCTTCTTTGTGAAGGGAAAAATGGAGCTGCTGTTTAACACTCATTCTGAGTGGGTTTTTTCCTAACAGAAAAATTCCTATTCATTATGGGTGAGATCCAGGTCCTACTAAAGTCAACATAGATCCTTCTTTTTTGTGTAACAAGTATTGGGAAAGCATCCTAGTACTAATGAAAGACATAGCAAATCTGGACCATTAACCATCACCTCTCTTCTTCATTACACCATCAAGGTCTTCTCTTTACTTGCACAGCAGATCTCAGCCTTAAGGTGGCTTGTTTCTTTGTGCTCTAGATAAATACTGTGAGCATCTTGCCTTCCCTCTTCGTGCTCTGGTTGACTATTCCAACAACCCAAATGCTTTTTGTTCACACTGACTTGCCTAATCCAGGTGCAGCTTCTGATCAACCCCTCCAGAGCACGTTAAGAAGAGCTGCATGCAGGATATCCGCTGGTCAGGCTAAACCCAGCCTGTGCCATTAACAGCCTCCCCGTATCTGCTCGAACCCGCCCATGTGAATGACTGATTTTGCTCACAGGAACCAAACTTGTCCTCAACCTCGGGCTGGAGCAGTGGCTCAAGACAGGCTGGAGCAATTATAACGTGGGTAGCAGGTGAGCCTGGTTCTGACCCTGCTCAGACCCAACGCTTCCCTAACATATGTGGTGCTTACCCAACGTGCTCGAGGAAGTACGTTAAAGTCTCATGTGTCTAAGAAGAGAATTTTTGGTCCAGCTCAGACAACAACCCTTCAGATAGCACCTCCTGCCTGGATCATGATCTTTGGAATAAAAAATTTGGATGCACCACTCTCAGTATATTTGGCTGTCTAAAGCAAGGTCCAGCTCAGACAACAACCCTTCAGATAGCACCTCCTGCCTGGATCATGATCTTTGGAATAAAAAAATTTGGATGCACCACTCTCAATATATTTGGCTGCCTAAAGCAATTACCCAGACAAATGTGGGTGTATGAGCTTCCTCCTTGGAAAGAGCATCAGTGGAGACAGCTTCAGAAGGTGATCTATCCTTTCTCTGGATTAACTCTTAGACTGGGTAGATCTCCTGCAGAGATGCCCACTGTTCTCTACCGACCCATTGCTCTCTGCTCCAGAAAGCTTAGGCACCTAACTATCACAGAGCTAAAATCAGGTAAGATGAAGGATTTTCCCATTTTACATTCTATCACCTCTCTGGGTGACATCTGTCCCAGCTGACTTGATGAGAACCTCTCCTGCACCGTGGTGCAAAGACATGAGGTTCCTTTTCAGTATAGTTTCCCATTTTTATCATTTCAATTTATTACTCTGACCTCGGTGTTAGATGACGAGTTAGGACCCAAACCATCACTCCAAATGTTCTTACCCTTGACAGTAATAACCGCACTACTTTTAGCTGCTCCAGCCTCACACTCATATCTGCCACTGTCTCTTTCTTCTGCCCTGTGAATGACAAGCTTGGCTTCAAATCCCGACCGGCTGATGTTATACTTGGAAGAATTCCTAAGGCTCTTCCCGTCTTTGCACCACTTTACGGGGCTCTCCGATTTGGAGGTTTCACAGTGAAGGATCACATCCTCTCCCTCAGTGACTTCAGTATCAACCAGCTCCTTTGTGAAGATGCAGGGCTTCTCTAGAATCACATAAAAACCATCTGAGATGTTTCAGAAGAGGTGCAGATTTTTAGATCACAAGTAATCTGTGAGATTTACATCCAAGATTACCTGTGTCAAAATTACAGGTCAAGGTTAGTAACAAATAATTTGGTGTTCATGACTATAAAGCCCTCGGGAAGGCAGCAGTCATGCCATACAACGCTGTTTAGTAAATACCTAATGCCATCTGGGAGAAACTGAGGAGAAAATACGCCTTTTGAAGAACATAAATAAGATCTCTCTCGCATCTCACTAAATACGAACAAGATGGAGACAGGATTTTCCTAAGCCCTTTTACACGTGAGCTTATTAGTTTGAACCTTCTAATTGAATGTGGAAAAGGTAATTCTGCACGAAGTGAGGTGCAACACAGGTTTCTCAAAGCCAGTCATCTAGAGCAGGTCTCATCTCATCGGTATGAGTCTAAAAACCAGGCAGATAGCTCAGACTGGTCATGTAGGGTGTCTCTACAACTGTTAAGCTCAGACTGGTCATGTAGGGTGTCTCTAAAACTGCTGGAAGATGACAGACACCTCCAGAGACCAGATATTCACTTCCAAAACAGGTCATTAGGACAGAGGAGATGACCTGCTCTCTGGAAGTGTCTTTCTACACAGCTTATAGAAGTAGCCTAAGCTAGATACCAATAGCTAAATTGGCCAAGGTACATCTTATCCCTCCCAGCTTAATGCTTTTTAATCCATAAAAATCCAATCAATCAGCAGACCAAAACCTGTTTTTGGTACTATAGCATCACATATTAGCATTACCAAAAGGAATCGGCCTTTTGCAGATAAGACCTTTCATTTGCTTTCAGAAAAATCTGTTCGCATTTCTGCAGCATGGCAAAATTTGGGCAAATTTTCAAATTTTGAAAAAAAAATTCTTTGCAAGAAACGTGGTGAATGAGAATGAGAATATGATCTGACACAGTGGAGACTGTGTGTTTTACATCTCTGGGCAGCGAGAAATATTTATGTTTCCAGTAAGAAAATACCTCTCTAATCCTGCATTCTTGGGCTATCTGGCATTCATTTTATTCTCTTGCTATAGAAGTAGACTAACACTGCAGTTTTAACTCAGTTTAACTTTTCCAGAGAAAACAATTCATTGTCAACAATGAATAGCAGAGAACACACGTAATGTTTCAAACAATGAAAACTAAATTAAAAACTTACTGGTTGCACTTTTTTTTTTTTCCTTGAACTAATTGATTTCTCCTTACTTATCATCACCCTATCAGCTCGGCTCAAGGAAAACTGGACAAGGCATCCAATGTACCATCACTACAGTATAACATCCCCATCTAAGGTCCAATAAACACACAGAGTTGTCCAGGATTACAAAGTGTTAATTCCCCAGCCCTAGCTTCATTATATGGGTAATGTTATTGTTGAATGTATACAAATATACATCTGATGGGGCCAAATTTGTAGGATTTTTATTCTTTTTCTTTCAGCTATCCACATTAACCCGTAGTTATTTCTACACATTCTTTCCTCTCCTGCAGTTTTTATAATTGAATTACCTTTAACAACCAAACTGGCAGAGGTTTTCTTATCACCAGCTTCAAATGTAATGACCCCCGAGTCCTTCAGTGAGAGTTTTTTCAACATTAGCAAGTGATATCCATCGGGCTGAGACTGGATCTCATTAAGTTCATTGGTATGGAGTGGGGTTTTATCCAAAAACCACTGCACTTTGCTATAGTCTATAGGAGAGATTCTGCATTTGAACATGGCAGATTCTCCTTCTAACACAGTGACATCTTCCAGGTCTTCTGTTATTAGCACTTTCTGGCCTGAAAGGAACATAGATACATCAATTACTGGAATCTTCAGTTTCTAGCATGAAAATCGATATGGAAAACCCCAAGATTTCCCATGTGAGTATTTCAAGAAAGAAGTATGTTCATGATACAGAAGACTGAAACACAATTCCCCTGTTATTGAACACAAAAACCATTCACAGGAAGATAATATATACAGGACACACACCAAAATAGGATGAAGACAGCTTCGAAGCACCAGAACACATATAGCAGAACAAGTAGCCAGTACAATGCAAATCCAGTGTTATAAAGTTTCTCCTAATGGAACTACCCGGAAAGGCTGAAAGGATGCATCTCTGACAGCATCGCTGGGCTCTAGACATCACCAAGCAGATGAGCCCTCCCATGACGACCCTTCTGTTTTTCTAAAGCAAATATAACTAGCTTTCTATGGGATAGGACCACTCAGCCCTTTGAGTTTAGTCCGACCATAATCAGAGGGGGAAGTGAACAAAGTGTCTGACTGCAGCTTTAGTAAAAAGAAACAAAACAACAGCCCTAAAAACCTGCCTCTATAGATATAGATAGATATACACCTAACTGTAAATAAATAAATAAAATAAGGTTATCACTGTATACAAAGGTATATCTGATGTTGCTTCTACTTACAAAACAGCGAATTTTTACTTTTATCTTGAGCTTTGTGACAGAGAAGTATTTTTTCACTCAGAAAAGTTGGTGTTGGAAACCTGACAGCGAATTCGGGTAGCTCAGATCCTGACGCCGTGGTGGGGATTAAGCACACTTCTTTGCTTCTCAGCGCTGCTCTAGCAGATGATCAGAGGTGGTGGAGTCTGGCTTTACCCCCTTAGTCTTTAATAATTAGCTGTAATAATTAATAAGTGGGCACCGCCACTGCATCTCTATGCAACTGTTCTTGAACTGTTCCTCCTATTCTCTTCATTGCTTCATCTATTTCAGCTGAGGAGTTTCTCCCAGTTGAGGGTCCAGTGAGGGAACTGTGAGGAGCAGTAACAACCAGACCTCGCTCCTTCCCCTTAAACACTGCCCTGCTGTTAGCATTGGCCACCACAGCTCATTTACGACCTGTAGCATCCAACAAAAGCTGCTTGGGTTGTACGCTTCAGCTGGAGGGTGTAACTCCTGTCTAAGGCACAGGGGGACATTAAGCACTTACAGATCCCTGGACCACCCCTTCATCCATCTCCTCTTAGAAACCACTACTGGAAAGAGGCATCAAGGGATATGGAGAAAAGCCTGGAGGCAGAATCATTTTTCCCTCATCTAACAGCAGGCACTCTGAATCATATCCATCATATCTTCACACGGAAACACCAGCCTCTCCTCTCATCAGCATTTTGGGTGTTAAATCATACCCAAAGTACTCCAGGTGTAAGGTAATTACTTCAAATCAACAAATTGCTCTGCATGTCCAGCTCCATGTTGCTATATTTTTGTCCGCATCCTGTGCAGTGTATATACACCATGACTCAGACAGAGCCAGAAATGAGTAGACCTGCTACCTCTATGCTGAGAAATAGATCTGCCTATGCATATAATGTTTGCTGGTGGAGAAACAGGACGTACAGTCACATTCCTCTTATGCATACCTTGCACGACTAGCTTGGCTCTGGACTGGGCATCACCAATGTCACAGGTGTAAGTGTCACTGTCACTTTTCTCCAAATTATTTATGGTCAGCTGCAGGACTTGTCCTTTCTGTGTGATCTCGTATTTCTTGCTAGCCCTGAGTTCAGCTATGCCTTTCCTCCAGACCACAGAGGAGGCAGCTTTCTCACTCTGGCACGTAAAAACTGCAGTTCTGCTTTCATCGACTTTCAGATCTGAAAGTTCCTTGACAAAATAATTAGGTTTTTCTGGAAGGAAGAAAAAAAAAAAAAAGAAAAAAAAAAAAGAGAGACAGAGACAGATTTGTTACCCAAACAAGTCCTGAGCATACAGAGTGGTCTTGAGTCCCCTCTACCCCCAGTTGTAGAATCACAGAATCATAGAACCATAGAATCATTTAGATTGGAAAAGACCTTTAAGATCATCCAGTCCAGCTGTTAACCCAGCACTACCAAGTCCACCACTAAACCATGTCCCTAAGCGCCTCATCTACACGGCTTTTAAATACCTCCAGGGATGGTGACTCCACCACTTCCCTGGGCAGCCTGTTCCAGTGCTTGACAATCCTTTTGTTGAAGAAATTTTTCCTAATATCCAACCTAAACCTCCCCTGGCGCAACTTGAGGCCATTTCCTCTCGTCCTATCATCAGATGGAATGGATCGAAGAAGATCACCAGGTCCACCTCCTGTCACATGACATAATGGGTGAAACATTTCCAGGAAAGTTTAATGCCATCGTACAGGTACTGGTGAGGTCTCATCTTGCAGACCGCGTACAGTTTTGATCACCCATATTCAAAAAAAGACTAATTCAAATTGCCACTTTTGAATGGCTCATTACATAGCACATGAGATTCTTCAGTACCTACAAGGTGTTTTTTCAGAGTCTTTTTTCAAAAGCTTTTAATCCATGACATTTTTTGAAAACTAAAAATTGATCCTGTTTAGGGAGATAGAAGAGAAGAACATCTCCCACAGGTTGCAGTTATTTACCCCAACGTCTGTACATGCCAGCCCCTATGCATGCTTCAACTGACCTTGCACTGTGATCCTGGCTTTCGTTTTAGAGACCTCTGTCTCACAGGTGTACTCCCCACTGTCCTTGACTGTGGAGTCATGGATGATCAGAATGGCCCGTGTTCCCTCTTGGTGCAAGTCATACTTCTGGCTTTTTCGGATTGCTTTGCCATCCTTGTACCACCTGATGCTCACATCAGGTTTCGACAATTCACAGCTCAGGCTGATGTCCTGCCCCACTGCTGATGTTTTATCCTCCAGCTGCTTTGTAACCTCTGTAGGTTTCTCTGAAGGGGGAGGGCGGGGGGGAAAGAACTTTGAATAAAAATCATGATCGTGATCACTATATAGTTGGGGTTTTTGCAATTCAGATATCCAGCAAGTTTTCACATTCCCCAATGAATGGTTCATATTGTGTTAGAGAAGGGAGGGAAAAAGCAGTCTTGCTCTTTAGTACATATTAATTGCAGTTATGGGCAGTGAATATTAATGAATGCTTACAGGAACTGAGGACTTGTTCTGATGGCATCCGTTTCAGGGGATGTCATTTTGTCATCACCGAAGTTACTGTAGGCATGCAGTTATGGTGGGATCTCTCTCACTAAATACAGACATCTATGCTATAGAGATGTGTAGCATGGGCACTCACTCCAGGGCTGCTCTACAGCCAGCAGTGATCTGCTAAGTACAGGCAATAGACTTCAAGGAACAATTTATTTTGTCCTAAATAAGTCTAACTGTGGATGATCAGCTATGCCTGAAAGCTACCTATTTCTTCTCTCCGCTGACTATCCAGGGAGCGTTGGGTGATTATCTCTGATGCACACGGTCTAGAAATTGTCTGTACAATTACACTACCCAGTGCATTCTGCAATTCTCAAACATCTATAAAAAGTTTCAGCCTTTCACTTGTTTTTAAGGAACAATCTCAGTGCTTCAAGGCTTACAGAGAAGGCTGCTATTCACTTTGATCATAACAAGAGTTTGCCTTCATGGTTTACTGACACACCTTATGAAAAGACACCCAAGATATCAAACCCCAGAACCTTTCTGATCTCATTACCTTTCACAACCAGAGAAGCCTTGGAGGTTAGACCACGGGCAGTGAAAATTACTTCCCCAGCATCATCAGGAATTACACTTTTGATATTGAGCATATATTTCCGACCCATGTTAGAGGCTTTAAATCGCCCACCACTTTCCACTTTGGTCCCGTTCAGCGTCCAGTTGAAGTCATCAATGCTTTCATGGGACAAAATACACTCAAAAGTGCAATCTTCTCCCTCCTGGATTTCAGTGTTCTTCAGCCGTTTGGTGATGCCAATGTTCAGTTCTGGAAGACAAAAACTAGGTTAATACAAGGAGAAAAGGCTTTTATGATTGACAGGAGTAGTAGTATTGACATTTTTAACTCATCAGACTGGTTTATCTACTGGATTGGCAAGAGAGCACTGCATTCCTTACAGATGTATTTGACATGGGAAGGATTTCTCAGACATTATCCACTCAGAACCTCCACAAAGCTATAGCAAAAAGGGATGTGAATTTCCTGGCTTTGCTCTGGAAGGACTGCATGGAGAAGTGTCAAGATTCAATGAGCTAGAGGGGAGAAAAGCTGTCAGACATGAAGCCTCTGGGATGTCGTGGGCAGTTTTTCTCTATGATGATACGAGAAATGGGATGTTTGTATTTGTTAATTTGTTACCATCCTACCCCTCCTGGTGTTCAAATCAGACAAATTCAAAATTTGTCTCTTTATCAACATGAGTTTAAAAGCCATGAACACTTCTTTTTCCTTCAAGCAGTCACAAGGATTAGAGGACAGGCTCAATTGCTGGGTTCTTCAATAGACAACGTTGTACTACTTTTGTGTTCCCACAATCAACTCTGAATTAATAGCTCAGAACTGTGAAACACAAGCTGCTTGGGTTTTATTTGGTTTTTTGTTTTGGGGTTTTTTTTTTTTGAGAAATTATTTGCTCTTCTGGGAGGATTTCTGCACCATAGGAATGTTCAGGAAGGAAACATTGTCACTACTTTCCTGACACGTGATTTTCACTGAAACACCAGATATACTTCCATCAAAAAGTAACAGGGATTATTCAGACATCACCGTGTTATGTGAGGCTTATGGAGGAATAGGTGTGAGAGAAAGTGACCAAGCCCACTCATATCTGCAGCACCCCTTGACTGGACATCGTCTACAATACTTACCCTGAACGCTGACCTTTGACTTGGCAACATCAGTGCCGATATCACATGTGTATAAACCTGCGTCTGTCTTTTCAAGGTCATGGATAAGGAGGCACAGGGTCTTCCCAGACTGTATCTGCTCATACTTGTTACCAAAAGTGAGCTTCACACCATCCTTTTTCCAAACAGGTTTGACCTTCTCTTTGGAGACTTCACATTCCAGTTTAATCACACCTCGCTCCTCACCAAAAATATCATCCAAGGACTTCATGAAGACAGCAGGCTTCTCTGAAGGTTAACAGGCAAAACAGAGAACAGCCAGGATATTTCAGCTGAGGCATTTTCAATTGCTACCAAATATTTAAAGAGAGCTGAAGTAAACCCCTGGCAATGCTGATGATACCAATGCAGAACCTAAAGCAGTCTCACACCTCGTAATTGGAATGAGTTTTAGGGAAGTCAGAATTTATTAATGGGGGGGATGCATGGTAGAAGAGAGGCAGCCTGCATTGCCATGGATGGGGAGTGATATTCAGTGTTGTCATCGTGGTCTCTTTTATGACTGCATACCTGTGGGATTGCAAGGACTCTTTTCTCTGTGTGGGGGCATCTGTCAGGCACAGGTCATCCCATCACAGGGAATGGGGCTTGGAGCAGGCATGCAGGGCCTCAGTGAAGGCCAGAGGACAGCTTCACATTTCTATGGAATAGCTACTCAACAAGATAGACTAGGTTTAAGGAAGCCCTTCTCTGCATCGTGGAGGAGCAGAAAATGTTCTCTGGGAATGTCCTTTCTCATTGAAGCAATCTACAAGTGGAAAGGGGTCAGGTGGTTAGAAGAACAGGGCGGGAGTGTCGATCTGCTCGAGGGT